AGAGGGGAGGAAGAGGGGAGAGGGAGGGGAGAGGGAGAGGGGAGAGGGGGAGGAGGAGAAGAGAAGGGGAGAAGGGAGGGGGAGAAGGGGAGAGATCAGTTTCATAAAGCAGGAAACAAGAAATTAGGCAACTAGTTTTGGAATGCAAGGAAGCAAAGGCAATTCCCCCCATTCCTCCTTAGGTTAGACTTCAAAGTGTGGTTTCTTTCTTTTAAGAATATATCTATATATCTGAATCTCCAAGTTAAAAAAATCTAGATACATATCTGTATATTTTTATTACATTATGAGTAATATATACTCATTATAAAAAATACAAATTATGCAGAGTGTTTAAAGTAAAAAGTGAATATTTTTTAATTAAAAATGGGATCTCATTAGACCTATTATTCTACAACTTGCTTTTTTCATTCACAAATATATTGTTGACATCCCTCCATACCAACACATATGGGTCTGCCTCATTAATTTAATAGTGGCACAGTATTCCATAGCATGGCTGTATCATAATTTATTTAACCAGTTTCCTATTGTTAAAACGTTTAACATCCAATTTTTCATTATAATAAGTAATGCTACAATAAACCTTTCTATATATATATTTTTAAACATTTCTGCAATTATATCCCTAGGATTGATATCTCAATTGCTAGGTCAAAAGACATGCATATTTCTCATAATTATCTGTGAAATGGGTTTCCTTACATTGTAGGATTGTGAACACCTAGGATAATGGCAATGATATCAAAGTGTTAAAATATAGTTCAAACCCAAGTATACTTTTGAATAAAGAATGAAATAAAGTAATAAGAATACAAATAGGAAATATCTGACACTGTTGAAAACACATTTAATTTTACGTACCTCTATGTCTCCCAAATGTAAAGGTCCTCCTGAATCTGAAAAGGAATTAAATATTACATCTGGTCACTAAAAAAACTGAACTTTGATAGTTTTTTAGCTAGTAAATAAATACAAATTTTACAAATGAAAAGTAAAACATCTCACGATAACAGCGAATATCCATAGCATGATATTCTCCTTTGTGGTAGAAAATGACCACTTCTCTATCATGGACAACAGCTGTCATTCTTTTAGATTTTTTAATGTCATCTTCTCTGCCAACACGGACCGAAGAATATTCCTTCTTCTCAGGATCCCGTACAGAGCCATCAATATCCATGCTAGTCGAACAATCAAAATAAAAGAAAAAAGAAAGAAAATTGCAAGTGGTCTTCAGTAGTTTGGTTACAACTTAACTCAGAGATAATCATAAAAGTAGTCTGGGTTTCTCAAGACTAATGAAGGCATTTTTCTGTAGCTATATGAAATAGAACATAAATACTGGATTACAGTTAGTCATTACTTTGAGTTAGCCTCTCAAAATCTGCCAAAATTAGAGAGTACCCCCCACCCTAAGGCTATACTTGTATTAGATTCATTTCAGTACTTAAGATGGAAATTTCAGAACTCCTAAAATACAGAGACTAAAGTTTCACTACCCTTTTATTCCCTATCAAATTCAATACTACACATCTGGTCATTATCTACAATGTTTTCAGCCTTCTGCTGAAAGTAGGAGTCTTTGATAGTCTGAACTGTCTTGGGCCCTTTGGCTGACATGG